CATGTTGGCCAGGCTGGTCTTGAACTCCTGACCTCGAGGGATCCTTCCGCCTCGGCTTCCCAAAGGGCTGTGATTATAGGTGTGAGCCACTGCGTCCAACCCATACGTTGGTTTTAGAAAGCCACAGAAAGCACATGAATATGAGTGTGAGTGTGGTGCCTCAAGTATGTTATCATTAACGTAAAACTTAGACATCAGCCAACTCTGAGGGTTAAATGTTCCTGTAGAAGATGCACACAGATTATGAGACCATCATTCTCAGCAAACTGACACAGGAACAAAAAACCAAACACCGCATGTTCTCACTCATGAGTGGGAGTTGAACAATGAGAACACCTGGACACAGGGAGGGGAACATCACATACTGGGGTCTGTAGGTGGATGGGGAACTAGGGAAGGGATAGCGTTAGGAGAAATATCTAATGCAGACGATGGGTTGATGGGTGCAGTAAACCACCATGGCACATGTATACCTATGTGACAAACCTGCACATTCTGCACATGTATCCCAGAACTTAAAGTATAATAATAAAAAAAAAGAGTTGATGTGAAACATGGGTAAAAATAGCAAGATACTGTCTTTAATACAAAGAAAAGGATATAATAATAACTCATTTTGATAATTTAAAAAAAAACAAACAAACAAAAAAGAAGATGCACACAGCCCTAAATATCTACATTCAATTTTAACCAAGCCATTTACTCCCTTCCTCACCTAGTGAACTCAGCACAGTAAAAGATGGAACACTACATGGTTAAGCTTTCAAACTCCAAAATATGGCTGGAGACAGGCCCCTCAGAAAGTCATACGAGAGGCAGTGATGGCTACGAAGGCTTTTTCTTCTCATGCACAAAGATAGTCAAAAGTTAAAAAAAAAAAGTTATACAGCTGCACTTAGCTCTGTTCTCACGGGTCATTATTAGCATGTTCTCATTTAGAATATATAGAGTGTCTTGAGGTCCAGGAACATCCAATCTTATATTACCCTCTACCACACGCCTGCAGTCAGACAGAATTGCTGTTTCACGGACAGAAAAATTAGAGCCAAAGAAAATCAAGATGATCCCTAAATAACAATGTCAGCAAAAGAACCCAGAATGAACCAAATTTTCTGCCTGTAGGAAGAAAATAAATATCCTCAGTTTCTACAATTACCACACACACCAAAAAAATTGTTTTGCATAATAAATTACCAAAGAAGCCATATCGAACTTTTTCCATTTTCTATTTTTTCATAATTTAGAGGAGTCAATCCGGATGAAGACAAGATCACCTACCCTCGTGGAATTATGTGGATTGCAACAAAAACATCACATTTTGGCTAAACATGAGTATGATGGGCCTATGCTTCTCTCCTGCTAAAGCATAGCACTGGTGGGCTCCATGGGGCTTTCTACGAACAGCCAGCCACAGTACCAGCCCCTCTTCTCCTTTAAATACGAAAATTGTTCATATTAAAGAAAAATGCACCCTTAAAATTATCTCTTAATGTTGGTGACCAGAAGAGAGGAGAAGAGAATGCTGTTTATGACAGCAAATTTCTAATCAACATGGTTGCCTCCGTGCCCAAGAGCCCTGCCCACAGGCCCAGGTGTCATTTAAACACTCATGTATCAATGGACTGTCTGTTTCTCTTTGAAAAACAGCAAACTGATAAGACAAAAATCAATGGATCAACATCAACGAGTAGCCTCTGAGGAGCAATCTATATCACAGAAACCAGAGCAAGATCAACTGGGAGGCGCCATAGTGAACAGGAGAATGGCTGAGATCTCAATCAAGACAGTCTAAGAACAAATAAACTAACAATTCCCCTGAACCAAGTTTTAAACAGAAGTTACTTAAACACTGGAACAACCTAAGACAAGCAGAGAATCCTACAATAAAGGTTTTCATTTCAGTGCACAGGGTGATTAAAGTAACATTTACTTTCTAGCAGCCATGTCTGCACGAAGTTTCCCATAAGGATGATCATGGTTGTTTACCAGAATCACAAGCCAGAGCAGGGGTTGCGGGCAGACTGCCCACACAAAAGGAATCCTAGGAACACATGTATGCCAAGCATTCTGGGGGTTCAAATGAGTGAAAAACAGTTTCAAAGGGCTTTTCCTTGGCACGTGATCATTCAGTCAGTAAACATTTGTGGGCACTTACTATGAAGGAGAAATGCACCATGATCTATGCTGTCCTGGGCAGTGTATGCCCAAGAACCCACAGGTGAGGGGTGGAGGGTAGATGATAACCCAATTGCTCATTAAAATTAGAATTATGATGGAAAAACAGCCAATATGACGAAACTAGAGAGCCAGGATAACATCAAAACAGGCCACTCTCTTTTCTCTAGGATGCTTACAGAACTAATTTTAATTCTCCCTTTACTCCTGTGTGACACTGAGCTATGCGGCCACCTTGCATTTGAAGGGATGGATGATGGAACAAGACCTGAGGTTCATCTAAAAGCAAAGAGCAAGTAAATAACAGAAGACATGGTTGAAAAATCACATCTCATAGAAATCTAGTTGCTTATTAAGATAGATGCAAACTGGGGTTCAGAACGCACAGCACACTAATATGTAATAAGTTTTTTTTGTTGTTTTTTGTGGTTGTTTTGAGACAGAGTCTTGCTCTGTCACCAGGCTGGAGTGCAACAGCGCCATCTCGGCTCACTGCAAGCTCCGACTCCCTGGTTCAATGATTCTCCTGCCTCAGCCTCCAAAGTAGCTGGGACTACAAGCGCCAGTCACCACACCCAGCTAATTTTTGTATTTTTAGTAGAGACAGGGTTTCACCATTTAGCCGGGATGGTCTCGATCTCCCGACCTTGTGATTTGCCTGCCTCAGCCTCCTAAAGTGCTAGGATTACAGGTGGGAGGTGGGAGCCACCATGACTGGCAAAGTAAGTTTTTTTGTTTTTGTTTTTTTAAAAAAAGAAAGAAATGAAGGTTACAGCCTGAACAGATTCGTCATTTTTTTCAAATTTCAAAAACCTCCAAAGGAAAGTACGGGTTACACAGTGGGAACCACAGATGGTTCAGTTTGGCTGGAGGTTAGAATGTAAGACTGGAAGTTGAAATAGTGCCATAAATTTAAGGCTAAGGATCTTGGTCTTTATTACACAGGAACTATTTTTTAAATTCCTATTTTTTCATTTATTTGCTCTTCTGGTTGTTCCTCTTTAATTTTGGAAACCACTTTTGAGCAATTAAGTGATGTGACCAGAAAGTTAATCTTGTAGAAATGCCTAAGAAAGAACAGAAAGGAAGAATGGAACACTTAGAAATTTATTTCAATTGTCCAGTTAAAAATAGTGGAGAAGAAGGTTTCAACCAAAATTGCAGAGGGAATCGTAGAGAAGATGTGGAGAGCGGTTAGATGGGGAAGACAGGGTAGGGAAGAGGGCTCACATATAGTCCCAGGGTTCTGAGGCTGGGGGGCTTGGAAAGAAATACAGAGCACAGGAAGGTTAGGCTTGGGAGAGAAGGTGGGCCCTGTGGAGTCACCGCGATAGGGAGGCTGGCAGGCCACTCAGCAAGGAGCTGGAGTGTGAGGCCAAAGCTGCAGAGAGAAAGGGGCCTGGAAAACACCTCTCAGGGACCAGCTAACAGGATAGGATCACATGACACTTCCAGCAAAAGAAGTGTAGACCCAAAAATAAGAAAAAGTCCTTTGAGGACATGTACTATATAAGCTAATGGCTTTCAAATGGCGTTTTCAACTCTGGCTGACATTTTAAATACTTGATCAAAAGACCCCATGCTAGACTCCAACACTCCTGGGAATCTCCCCAGGCATCTCCTCCAGACTCCTGATAGGAGTCCTCAAACTCCAGTGGCCTCAAACGAAAGCTTTAGGTTTTCTGTCCTTCCCCTTCAGATATTCCACTCTGATGGACCATCTGCTCAGCGCTCCCTGTCCCCTCAGAGACCAATTGGGCTCATATCTCCAAAGTCAACACATCAGTCCTCCCCAGCCACAGTCCAGAAACCAGCCCACCCCACAGAATTCTTCTGGTCCAGGAGAGAAGCTCAGATACCTTCACAGAGTGGGACATTTCTTAAAATCTACTTGAAAATCCATTTAAAACAATTCTAAAGCATCAGCTAATGCATTTTCTACAGAATATTTTAGAAAAGGCAATATCTGGAATTTAACATTCAGTTATGTATACCTTGGCAAGATGAGATAAAATCCCTAAAACACATTTCTTTCCCATTTTTATTTACAGCACAGACAACACAGATTCATGTCAGCTTTCTCTGTAACTGTAAATGGGGGAAAAGAACCTCCTCTTTAAAATATGTTACTATATACATATTTTTAATTATAAATATCTAATATAATTTAAAAACCAAACTAAACCAAACCAAAGGTTAAATTGTATTAGGTTTCAACCACGATGAAATCTGTAATTACAAATAAGTAAGTTTCTGGAAAAATACATAAATACATACATACATACATACATACATGCCATTTTAAAAATCTAAAACCTCGAATGGAAAATTTTTCAGCTAATCATTACCATAATTTAGTTAACATAAGGTAAACTAAAAAAGGGACCATAGGTCTTTTATGAGGAAAGAATGCTATCTCACAGCTATTCAAACCATGAAAACTTGTGCTCTTTATCTTCATCGTTACAAACTGTATCTAAAAAGTGATCATGCCTCTTCTGTAAAACCCAAAGGAAAGACGTTCAGGGATATTTTACCTCTCCGGTATTTAAACCTCATCACATCCCCTCCTTTCTGACCTTCTTTAAGCAAAGCTGATAAAGGGAAAAATGAAATCATTTGAGATTCAAATTGTTTCCACACCCAAATGTACAACAACTAGCTGAGATAACCAAAAGGCAAACGCAGTTATCTGAGTAATCACTAATGAGAGAGCCTCTGAATAGCATATCCTGCATTTGTGGAAATCTTTTTCCAATTTTTCTACGGGTTTCATTTCCCCGGGGACTGGTTCCCACAGGGTCATGAAGGCTAATGGCACTTACCTTTTTGGCTCTTTGGGCTATGTCTGGTGTTCTTGTAAGCAGCTTCTCAATCAGGTACTCTCTGTTCTGCAAAACAAATATTCCCAACAGTTTAACATCAAATACGATACATATAAATTCACAGTGATTTCAAAATAGCTTTACTTGGGTTTTTAAGCATGTTACCTTGGCCTTCTGGAAGAATTTGCATTTTAAAAGTTCTGCTGCTGTGGGCCTGAAAGATCAATAATAAATTAGAGTTGAAACAATGACCACTTAATAAATGCACTGCCTTGATGAAACAATTTAACCTTAAGAGTATTTCTGGAAGACCAATTTCAGGAATAGCAAAACTCGGAACCAAATTCATCATAGGCTGGCACCAAATTAAATTGTGCCAATTTTCTAGTTCTTTCCAAATACCTCTACTGCCAAACAGATAAACTTCTGTATGTAAAGTGCTTGGGGCAGAATCAATTTTCCATCCTTCATCCTTACACTTAACTAAGTGAATTCAGTGTTTCTAAAAGGTGGCAGACTGACACATCTGTGAGCTAAATTTCTATATTTATAAAGAAACCACACAAGCTACTATATGACCCTGTCAAAGAAAGCATACTCTACTGTGCTCTGTGCTTCCCCAAGAGCAGCAGGTACTGCAAGCGGTTCACACATCGTGTCCACGCTCTGTTTGCCTGCTCAATAAACCCGTCTCAAGTGCATATGGACTGCTGTTTGCCAGGTGAAGGTAAATGTGATCGTGATTAATAAAATGCAAATTCATTTAGAAGCATTACTAGATGGTGTGATTATTTCCTCATGGTGTCATTCAACTTGCTTCTCTAGCCCGTATTTCCTGTAAACTCTAAGTTAGGTCTGAAGGCTTGAAGAGATTTAATTAAGCATTTGGGGCAAGAATACTTCACAGATGATGGCACACACTTCTTACAGCAGCACCTCAGAGGCAGGTCCTGTTAGGTCACTCCACTGTTAGTGATGCTAAATTTAACCATCAGTCCCCCCAGGCACCTAATCTCTCCATTGCAAAGGTCATGTTTTCCCCCACTGCAATTAGCAAGTGTTCTGTTGGGTAATACTTTGACATTTTATGAATATCCTGTTCCTGAAAACCTTTCTGCTAATTGTGTTCATATCTTTGCCTTCAATAATTATTTCATAGGAAGTAGCAGAATACTGAGTTCCTACTTCTATCTTCCTTGTATACTGACTGACATTCTTACACAAAGAATAGCTTCCTTCATCAATAGTTCCTTCCAAAAACGCAGCCATGAGAAAGAATCAAATAACCAGAGAGTAGGGTGCTGAGCAAGACGACTGGTCTGATTTCTTTCAGGGAGATTGAAGGAACTGTTCTAGACTCAACAGACTTTACAAAACATTAAAACCGAATGCAACACACAGCCCTGGACTGGATTCTGGGCTTGAGAAAGAAGATGCAGAAGCTACAAAGGACATTTGGGAATAATTAGAGATGTGTGAATATGCTAAATATTAGATAATTTTAGGAACGTACTCTTCATTTCCTTAGGTGTGGAAAAGTACTGTGGTTGTGTAGGAACATGTCCTTGTTTATAAGAAATCCAAGCTAAAGTATTAAGTCTCTTACTTTCAGAGTTCAGCAAATAAAACATAAATATCACAATTATAGAAAATGTTAATAATTGTTTAATCTAGGTGACGGTATAGAAGTAAACAATGCACTACTTTTTCATCTTTTCCATATGTTTTAAGCGTTTCATAATAAGATAATGGGAGAGAAAGGAGGAGGGATGCATTATTGAATATCATTAGGTATTATCTTAGACAACAATTACCAAACACACAAATAATATTGTAGCAGGGGGTGGGGTGGGGCAAGTTTAAAAGGAATCCTCATGCTTGAAACAATTGGAAACTGCTGCTTTGAAATCAGGAAGCTCCACTAAAATATTCCCAGGGATCAAACCCAAGCATAGAAAGAATTAGAAAACGTCATCAAGTGCATCAGTACACAAACTGTGTAAGTCTACAGGGGCCCCAGAAACTATTTCTGTGCAAAGAAATTTTCTGTTTAAATCATTACTGCTTTTTTCCTCAGATTTCAAGTGGAGCACTGGTTGCAGGCAGGTACCTGACAAAGAACCCTGGATCTCCATATCTACCAGCTAATTGCTTTGAGTAACTAAGGGTCTAAACAACAGGTAGGCCATGAATCTGCACCTGTTATAAACAGGTCTTAGAACTAAACACTATAGCATAACTCTTTCACATGATTCAACTTTGGTTGTTATTTTAATGTATACTTTTCCTGATCACCAGCAGATGTTTTTGCCTCTAGCTACTCCAAATTCATCCTTTCATTCTCTCAGTACATATTTACTAAGCACCCACAGTTTGTCAGGCATTATGCTAGGTGGTAGGCATACTATAGTGAAGATGGCAGACATAAATAATACCTCCAACAAGTCACAATCTAGCAGGTAAGAGCAGAGTGTGCTGCTCGACAGCAAGAGGGGCAGCAGCACATTCAAACACCTTGGAGGAAGGAGAAGGGCTCCTGAGGGAACATGTAGTAGAACCACTTTACAGTGGACTCCGAAATGGACCAAAATATCATGTTTGGGAACCTCACAACATGAAACAACATTTTAAAAACTAAGAAGCATACAAAATAACTTGGATTTAATTTTTTAAATGTGAAAAGAACCCTATGAAAATCACAATGATGAAAAAAACTCAAGGCCACTGTTCTGTTCAAAGGCCTCATCACCTCTGGCTAATATAGTTAAATAAAACAGCGCCCCCAGCTAGTGGCTCACTACTTCTCCCTTGCTACTTCCAACCCATCATCCATCATCCCCACTGCTTCCCAAATTAGCATCTTAAAAAAAAAAAAAAATCTGATCCTCTTTTACCTATCCTGATGCATTTCAGTGGCCTGAGACAGAAGCAAGTCTTCTAGGGCCTGACTTCTCCATCCTCATCGCCCCACAACCCCAAGAGATGCCACCCTTCAACTGCAACGATGTTCTCACTCATCTCTTGCTCTTTCATGACAAAGCACACACTGCTTTTCTTGCTTCCAAATTTTTCATAACCAACTGGTACACCCTCGCTCATCAGTCAAGAGCCAATTTAAATGTCATCTTCAAAGATACCTCTCCCAGCTCCTGCAAGCAGAAGGCACTGCTCCCTAACTGGCACTCATGCTCCATGCTACCCACATTTCTATCATGTGTTTATCTGTTCCTATGTCTCCCCGCTTCACTCCACTAGGATACGAGTCCTTCCAAGGCAGGGACCTCATAGGATTCCTTTGTATGTTTCCAATACCTAGCACAGAACAGAAACTGCTAAAGCTCAATTTGATACTATAATCAAATATGGGGGAAAGTGATGCTGCTACACATTTGGACACAGCACTACAACTCCTGGAGCTAGATTCAGTTAGCACCAAAATCTAAGCATCTGTTCAATACGGTGGGGAACAGGAGAAAGATTTAATAAAAATGAGACCCACGCTAGCAAAAAAAGAGGACAGAGGAAATGCCCAACGTAAGGAAGCAAAGTGCCTCCCTGTCTCCTCTGCACCATATCCCCACCAAAAATCCTCCTCCCCACACACGAAGGGTCAAGTGTAGGATGATGTAGAGAGAAAGCTGGGAAGTACCAGGGATACCTTGAGATACAGGGCTGGGAAAATACTTTGCCTTCTCTAGCAAGGTCATTGCCATGGTAACCAACAATGTAAAAGGGAAAAGCATGCTACAAAGGAAACTCCTTTCTCTGCACTCCACTCCACTCTTAGCCTTCATCAGTAAGTACAAAAACACAATCAGGTAACAAAACAGAATTGGTTTAAACAAGCCGCCTTCTTTTTTTATAGGCTTGTTAAGTAATAGGTAATTCCAACTTTATATAGAGAATAACTAAATAGCAGATTAGAGGTTTCTCTTTGCTCAAATCAGCTGAAGTGTTTATCACTTTGGGATAAACTGGAAGAAATTAAGAAAATGACAGAGGGGCCAGGCACGGTGGTGGCTCACACCTGTAATCCCAGCACTTTGGGAGGCCGGATTACTTGAGGTCAGGAGTTCAAGACCAGCCTGGCCAACATGGTGAAACCCCATCTCTATTAAAAATACAAAAATAAGCCGGGTGTGATGGCGGGTGCATGTAATCCCAGATACTCAGGAGGCTGAGGCAGGAGAATCACTAGAACCCAGGAGACAGAGGCTGCAGTGACCCGAGATCATCACAACATTCCATTCCAGCCTGGGTGACAAAGCAAGACTCTGTCTCAAAAAAAAAAAAAAAAAGAAAATGACAGAGGGAAGACAGTGAAAGAAAGTGTGAGAAAAGCAGAGGTGCCTGCTGCCCATTTGATTTCAGGGTTTTTTGTTTTTTATTTTCCTCATTTATCTATTTTTATTTTATGCCATAGTGACTACCAATGCCTGGCTAATGTGGAACCACCAGTGCCACCTACCTTTTAGCTGAGTACTACAGGAGAAAATTCTGCAAGCACAGTCACATCTTACATGGCCACCAGCAAACATCAAACAATTCAGTACAATGTAAGTACCAACAGTTTTATGAGAAATGCTAAAATGTTACCAGTAACCAAAATAATGGTCCAGCCTTTGAATGATGATTCAATTTTAAATCCTTAAAAACAATGCAGCAGTCTGCAAGTAACAACATTCTCAGAAGAAAATCTCTTAAAGGATTCAGCTAATACATATGGATGAACCAAAGTCCACTGAGACTTAAAATAATTTTCAAAAGACTCTAGATGAATATGATATAGTTTAAATAGTTCTAACAATTTGCATTAATAAGTTCCAACAGCCCTTTGACCTCAAGCAGAGCTGCTTTCCTCCCCACACCACTCCCCACAAAAGAAATATTCAAGTCATATTCCTTTCTTAAGGATTTATCAATGCAACATCGTCCCCCTTGTTGCTAAAAAAAAAAAAAAAAAAAAAAAAAAAAAAGTTGGTTCTTTTTACAGTTGCTAGCCACACAGAGCCTGTAGTCTACAAGATTAAGGTTCTTTTATTTTTAAGAAACAGCAAGATGTTCTGGTATGCAAATATAAGCAACTCTCTGTCTACGCCAATGCAGAACACAGACTCAGACGACCCAAAGGGCTGCAACACCCCAGCTCTCTTTTATGAGGAAAGTCCCATGAGCTCTCAAGGTTGACAAAAAAAACCACAGCCTATTCTCAGCAGCCTGAGAGTTGATGCATATGAGTGAATCTGTGCTGGTCACTGTTTTCTCGCAATATTTTTTCACTCACTGCTCGTAAGGTACTCGGCAACACCAGGGCTTTGGCACAAGTAAATTGCTTTCAGATTACAGGTAGATGATCTACATTTAGGGAACAGAAATAATAAAAACTGGCCAAAATTATGCATTCACTCTCCAACCTACTCAAATCTGATTTCTGTTTATTAAATACTCTTCAATGGGTCCAAATCACCCCCAAATTGCAAGCTCCCAATCATTTCTAGTTGTTCAAGAAATGGTACTGAGCATATAATACAGACCAGACACTGGATATAAAGATAAGCAGCACAAGTTCTCCTAAAAAACTTACAAACTTTTGAGGAATTGGGGTGTATAAATCAGTAAGAGTACACAGTGTAATAAGTGCTACAAAAGATATATTTTCGATATACTGTAGTTATTGCATAAAAGTTTCAACAACTCCACTTGGTCAGGAAAAAAAAGGCAAATAATGAATGGCAATCTTAACCTCATGAGTACTTAAGAGACTCCCTGGTACTGTGCTATGTGTTTGAAGTGCATTTTCTCTTCCCATCCTCATAGCGATCCTATGAAGTGGGTATTTTAAGGTCCATTGTACAGACAAGAAAGCTAAGTCATACAGATCTTGATAAAGTAGAGCTAGGAATCCCACCCACAGGTACCTAACTTTAGGAAGATGTAGCATCTGAATCAAGCATAAAAAGAGGGATAGAAAGGGGACAGAGAAACGGCAAGAACTCTTGAATGACAAAAGCAAAGGTAGAAAATATTCCTGGTTTCTTTTATTATTGTGCAGGAATTCAAGGTTTACTTATGAAATTAGTCATGGATTCATATGTTGAAATTGCAACCTATCTAAAAAGTAATTCAACAATGTTGCTTTTTTCCATTCTTACAGGTCATAGATTTTGCCCCCCCACCCCCAAACTCAACCTATGTATCTTTTCATTGTAAGAAAGAGCTACCTGGGAAGGTGATGTGCCGCTAACAGTCTACAGCTGTTTGGTATAGAGAACAATTGCACAATAGTGAGAACAGATTAAGTTACAGAGAAAATATCTAAAAGAAGACCTTAAACAATTAATGCTTTGTACATCAACAATGTTTTTAAGAGAGTAGTCTCTGAATGAAAGATTTGAAGATTTTGAACATATGGTATACGACTCTCCTCTAAAGAATATATATATATATATTTTTTTTTCTGGTGGAGTAGAAGGAACCCGATATTTAAACTCATATAATGAATAAAATCCAGAAAGACTTTCAAGATTATTTAGAAATAAAAATGGGATGAGTGTGGTGGCTCATGTCTGTAATCCCAGCACTTTGGGAGGCCGAGGCAGGCAAATCACGAGGTCAGGAGATCGAGGTCATCTTGGCCAACATGGTGAAACCCTGTCTCTACTAAAATACAAAAAAATTAGCCAGGCGTGGAGGCGTGCACCTGTAGTCCCAGCTACTTGGGAGGGTGAGGCGGGAGACAGAGGCTGCAGTGAGCCAAGATTACGTCACTGCACTCTATCCTGGTGACAGAGCAAGACTCCGTCTCAAAAAAAAAAAAGAAAAAAAGAAAAGAAATAAAAACGTTTTGTTAAATATAATGTATGTCAATCTAATTTGTTTTGACCAAATCACATACAAATCTCCTAAAGAAATATACTATTATATCATTAAGTACACTAACAATTCTACCCTAAAGAACAATTTTCTTAAAAAGCTGGAATTGTGTGACATTACAAATCACAACCACTAGGTGGAATCTCAATTATTGTCGTTCAAGAATCAGGAAGACCATCAGTAATAATCTAGTACTAACTGGAAAGACAAGAACTTCTCTTGCTGGGCTATGAAGGATCAAATTCTGTTTTCTTGAAGATGTCAAAAAATTTTACTGAAGATGACACAAAATTCAAGGGGAAGATAAGCAAATGTTGGAAAACAAAATTAGAATCTAAGAGCATTTCACCCAAATGGAGGTTGAAGAAATAATCTCAACGAAAGATCAAAAAATTGTGGAAGAAAAACAAGTCCTACAAATCAAATATAAATGACAAATGAGATGTTTACACAGAAATAGTATATAGGTATGACAAAGTAATCATCCCTTTTACAATAAATAATTCAAGATGGCTAATAGCAGTCTTCATTCCTGGCTCCATGAGAAAAGTGACTGATATGGAAAAAATTCAAGGCAAATTCAGTAAATGTAAAAGAATGAAGTGAGCAGCTACAAACAATGGGTACAATTATGGAAACTGTTTAATCTAGAGAAGAGTGGCCTACTCAAACAGTAAGTTACTGTGTAAAGGCTTAACAAGTTTCATAAAAATTTAAGATCAAAATAAAGGAATCACTTCTAACAGCAGAGTCCTTCCCTGAAAAAGAAGTTTCAGAAGAGAAGTCAGTTATTACATTTTAAAATATAAGGAACAAATTGGATCCTCAGGTGGATTAGGATAGACAGGAACTTCTCAGAGGCCTCTCGTGGTCTGTGCTAGACTAACGCCACATACAACTAGGTACCTGCAAAGGGACCTTACCCAGGCAAGGCCGTTCACATAATTAACAATCTCCTCTAGGTGCCAAAGAACAGAGGGCTCCATGATCACTAACCAGGATATTTCAAAGTCACAGAAATTAAGAAGGAAGCAAGGAAATCAGAAAGCAGACACAGTACAGTGCAGGGCAATAACCCAAGAATAAATAGGAAACACTAATGTTAATTTAAAGCCATTTGCTTCTGTTTACATGATTAATCTTTTTAAGGTAAAAAAAAATTCCTTAATCTTCTTTACCGATAATCTTTTAAACAGCACCAACAACTTGTTCTGCAACTAACAGGAAGCTCATGCAAAATTCAACAGCTCTGCCTAGTTTAGACTGGAGCTAGCAGGATATTCAAATCCTGAGAGGTCAGCTCAACCTACACAGTGCAGAATGTTAGCTCAGCTTCTGAATGTAGCACTGCCAGTTTCTTTTGATTTCTGTTTTACTTCATTTCCTTTGATGACAGAGCCCACACCTAACAAGCACAGTGAATCTTATTAACGCCACAATTCTTCCTCTGCCTCTCCTTCATTCTTCACCCACTTCTTTCCCCCTTGGACCCACACTGTCTTCCACTAACAGGTTGGAAATCTGGGGACCAGAGCAGGGTTTCCCAGACAAGAAATACCTTTCCAGTGTCTTCACAAAGCCTTTCCCCATCTACAAACAAAGCTTTGTCATGGCTCAAACCAGGTCATTAACTCATCCACTAAGTTTCACTTACCTTTTGGAAGGATCTTTCTGAAGACACAGTGAAAGTAATTTTCTAAAGGACTTGCCGTACTTTTTCATCATTTCTTTATCCTCTACCCCTGTTTCCAAAGTGGGTGGATCATTTTGCAAAGTCAACATTAACACCTGCAGCAGAAACACACATGAAGACAGAATCTCAGTACAGCAATTGCTACAATCTAGTTGTGAATTTTTCATAGAAGTGTAAAAAACCATCCTTGATTAGATACAAAGTGCTTTCCCATGATTTTAACTTTGCAGAAACTGTGTATTGAAAGGATCCATTGCCACTGCAAATCTGTTCATGCCCCCTTTAACCTTTTTGTTATTCCATTGACAGAATTTACAAAATTTGCTCTATGTGTTGAGAATGATCCCAGACAGAGCTTCCTGGGAACTGGCTCATGTACCGCCTCGAGGAGCACGTAGCTCCAGCACAGGCTGGTTGGGAAAGCGGGTGGAGGAGAGAGAGAGCCAGAGGCATGACTGTTCATGTGTACAGGTCATTCATAAGTAAGGAACTGCCTGTACTCAAGGCTTCTGTAACACATTACTGGCCCTAAAAATAAAACCGCAACATCCCAGGAGGTAACATGATTTCCTTTAAAAAAAAAAAAAAAAAGAGAGAGAAAACATACAGAAAATTGCTAAAAGACTTGGCAAAACTGAGAGCAAGACACTGAAGGATAGCCAGAATATAACGGAGTGGCTAAAAACTGTCATCAAATCCAAAGTCCTTGCTGCTTTTGGAGGGGTACAAAACAAAATAAAAATACAACTTTAAATCAAAAAGGTAAAAATTCCACTCTTTCATACTAACTTCAAAATTATTTGCTTTAAAAAAAAAAAAAGTGGAGGGTGTAGAAAACTACTAGCCTGTACGATGAATAAACCTCATTAATGCATAATTCAGCCTTAATTTATGCAAATGCTATACATGTCAAGCCTCTTTTCAAACACTTTCACATGTGTGAATAGATGAAGCGTGAAAGTGACGGCTTATTGTTTGTGGAGGATAATAGCCCACAGGAGAAAGTGGGGGACTGGGAACTCTGAAGAAATTCCTAGAGGACTTCAGGCTGGGAGTGCGACTTTGAATTCAGGTGGGAAACACTAAGAAGAGGCGAAAGAAAGAAAATGAAGAAAGAAAAACTGAATGAAAGAAAAAATCCTTCAGCATTACTTCAGTGCTTTTTCTTCAAAAGGTCACTTCAATTGTTTATACTTAATTTTAAATTTTCTGCTAACAAAATCCGGTATATGTATCCACACACACACATACACTAAAATCCTAACTATGTTAAATACATATATAGAGAGAAAACAATAAAATGAATTACACTAAAACCTTAGTAGAGATTGTCTGTGGTTGATGAGATTACAGATGATTGTTTTTCTTCTTTAGTCTGACTTGCACATCCAAACTTTCTACAATATATTACTTCTTTTAATCAGTAAAACTCACTTTTTATTCTTGGGTTTTTAAAATAAATCCTCCCAAATTTTTCCAATAACCATGAAACAATCATAGACCACACTCTATGTAAAACAGCATTATAATTTCACTAAACTATTTCAGCCTCAAAACAAAATCCAGTTGGGTAAATTAGCCCTGATACCGCTATCTCAGAACTAAGAACAACAATGAAGTATAAGCCAGTTAAAAGAACAGCAGACACGTGAAAATAGCATCCTAAAAACACTGTGGCTCTCTTATATCAGATGAGTTGCCAACATTACACTAGGACAGCAGGGGTAAAAATGTTATAGTCCACTTAAAAAGAAAAAAAAAAAAAAAAGCCCTGAAAATCTGGGAAATCCATTTGCAGAGATGACATCACCATAGTCTATTCTGAGATTTTCTTTGGGAACCTAGCATTTTCTGCTATCAAAAGAGTAATGACCAGCATTTGTCATAGCTATCAACCTCCATCGACCAATCTGACCACATTATTTTCTCAACTCTGTGCTGAGACTATAAAGCAAGCTTCAAAGCTGGGAATTATGCTACTTTTGTCCTATTCTGTCCACTGAGAAAATCAGACAATGTTCAACTTGGCTGTGTTCCTCCATTCATTCTCCTTGGGTCTAAGAAAAGGATGAAGATGTTGAAGACAATTAGAAAACTGATTCCATCCAATCACATTTCAACCCCGACATAGTATTTCCAACTGTAATTACTTTCATGGGAGGATATTTGTGATAAGGCGCTGCTCCTGTTGCTAACTCAATGGCAGTTATTCCAAAACTCCACATGTCAGCCTTGAAGTCATAGCCTCTCACCTAAGAAAGTAAGCAGGAAAAAAAAACACAATCATACGGCAGGCATGTTACATATCATCAAGTCCATATCATGTCAGAAATCCACAGCTGTTGATGTATAACTTTTACATTAGTTTGCTAATTAACTAGGAATCAAGAATTAAATCTTAGTTACATGATGCATTCTACTAAAATGCTAGATACAAATGAAATGTTAGTGTATTAATGATCTGTACGATTATACTATGTCCATCAAAGAGTCACTTTATTGTTTTTTTTACCTGTTCCATGACTTCAGGGGCCATCCAACATGGGGTGCCAACGAATGTTTTTCTTACTTTATTTCGGGTAACATCACCCCCTGTTGCTAGGAACGCACTTACCCCAAAATCTGAAAGGGAAAAAAAAATCTCCTTTATTTTATGTAAGACATTATTGCTTATAAATTGTGATTTTTTTTTAGCATGTCTCTTCTTTGTGAGCTTCACAGTGGTGATGAACTGTTCCGAACATGTCTACGGCACTCTCTCAGGAAAAAAAGGGCAGATCTGCCCTCTGTCATCCCCTACACCTTGGGGAACACCATCACTGGTAATGGGCCACAAGCCCGCCAGTCCAAAAGCTTAGTATACCACATTAAATATAAAGGGTCTTAGCTTTTAGCTGAGGTATATAAAGATAAGATACATAAAACCAACATGCCCGAGTTTGTCTGTATGCAAAAAACCTTAGTCAGCAAAGACTGATTTTCTGGACAATTTTCATAAGTACAGATGAAATGGATTGTAGAAGTAAACAGTATTTTTCTTAACATTCAGTATATACTAGAAGTTAATTTTATGAGAAGATGAATTAATTAGGCATACCGTACAGGTTGAGCATCCCGAAATGCTTGCGACCAGAAATGTTTTAGATTTTGGATTTTTTCTCATTTTAAAATACTTACATTATATACTAAGTTAGTTAAGTGCCCTCATTCAAAAACCAGAAATCTGAAATGTCCCAATGAACATTTCCTTTAAATGTCACCTCACATTCAAAAAGTTTCAGAATTTGGAACATTTGGGATTTCAAATTTTCTGATTTAGGGATACTCAACTTATATATACATACAGGCACATGTGCAAAAATTCTATTTGTATATACAGTACAGAAGGGAATGCCTGGCAATTATTAATGCACTATTCTTGCTTTCATTTTTACACAATGGTTAAAAGTAGTTAATAAGTTAAAGTACCAATTACTCAAGACTAGTGTACCTATCAATGACAGCCAAGTCAAGGACTGCTTGATAGTGAGCTGGTGGGTAGTAATAAAAACACGTAGTCAACACCTCAAAACACCACAGCGCACTGTGCAGTCTGAGCCTCTGCAAATCGTTCTCATATACTTTTCCTTCACTGGTCCCCTTTGTTGGCTGTCAGGGTGACAGCAATTACCAAAAAACAACCTCAAGTACAAACCAAGGTCAAAATGTATTAGCATTTGCTGTAGGCCTATAAGGTTAGCTTATGCAATTGTGACTTAATAACATTGTAACCAGTTTCCTGAGTAGAAATATATTGAATGTTGGATTTTATTTATATTTAAATTTACTAGTACTCCCAACAGGATTTCAATTACAAATAAAAGGAATGAAAATTGACAAATGGAGTCTTTGTTCCAACTGCTACTCTCATGTTCATACTGAATAAAAGTATATATTTTTAAACTGCTATATAATTTAATATGCATATATGTTTCCAATTCTAAAGCCCTTTTAATTCTTATACTACAGCCAGAACACTGAAGTCTTGTGAAAAGCAATCTCTGTAACCACTCAGTCTCCTGTGGGTGGGAGAAGATACAATTCATTCTCTTAGAGAAGAGTTAGGTGAATTGAAATATGTGTAAGCATCTACTATATCTGCTGGAAAAAATATATATATGATAACGCTTTTAAAGCTACTACCACAAAATACTACTCAGCCATAAAAGGGAATGAAATAATGGCATTTGCAGTAGACTGGATAGAGTTGAATACCATTATTCTAAGAGAAGTAACTCAAGAATGAAAAACCAAATATCGCATGTTTTCACTTATAAGTGGGAGCTAAGCTACGAGAACACAAAGGCATTATAATAATATAATGGACTCTGGGGTCTTGGGGGAAAGGGTCGGAGTGGTGTGATGGATAAAAGGCTGCACATTGGGTGCAGTGTACACTGCTTGGGTGATGGGTGCACCAAAATCTCAGAAATCACCACTAACGAACTTATCCATGTAACCAAGCACAACCTAGTTCTCCAAAAACTATCGAAATAATAATAATAATTTTTTTTAAAAAGCTACTAATTTCAACTTAATTTGTATTTCTAAAAAGAAGTTCAAAGATGAATCCAACATTTCATTTTTGTTAAAATGATTTTATAATACAATAATATGAAATAAATACATATCATCTATAAATCAAGGATACAGGTAAAAGCTGCTTTAAGGAAAAATTGATTCTTTTAAATGCAATTGAAGCAACTCTGCGCCCTAACGTCTCTTCCTAAAAGATATAATCCAGGTAAAAATCCATAGTTAACATTAGATATATTTTCACTTCCTTAAAAATACTACCTGCTTATATTACACATTTTAAAAAGTTAGACAAACAGCTGAAAAAGATGTATAGTAGCAATTTATTACTGACAATACCCTTTCAATATATCTGTCATGATTCATACATTTATTCAGAGCCTCCACTTTGAACACTCACTTTAAAGTCTCAAACAGATGGTTAAATGTCTTTAACACTCAGAACAAAAATTTCAGGAGCAGAAAACACCAATCCTAACATCTACTCCCTCTATGACTACAGAATAAATACACAGTTTGCTCCTATGTACGGCTGATGTGTATATAGATTATATGCACTCAGCAACAGAACATTTTGAGTAAAGCACACAGTGTGCTTATGTTATATAAACAAAAAATTGGTATATTCTGTTGAGATAGCTTGCATATGACAGTTAGAACGAGGTGGCAGAACAGTAACAGTGAAAAGCCGTCCTTGTTTCCTAAGGGGTACATCTATACAGCCAAAGGGAATGGAGCCAGATTCACTTGGGTCCAAAACCATGGACATTTCTCAGGCAACACGGAATCAAAGGCTACACATAAGGTTAGCCAGTCCATCTCCTGACTGCAGGAATAACTGGAGGATATGGGTAAAAGCTACTTTAAGAAAAACAACAACAACAGCAGCAACAAAGAATGCTGTCATCCTAATAACAAAAAGGCTCTAACACCTTCTGAATCCATCCACTTCTTTGCTTCTCCACAGCCACTGCCTTCATTTAATCCACCATTACTTCTTGCCAAGACTTCTGCGGCAGCCTCCTAAGTTCCCATCTCCCTTCCTTCCCCAGATCCAGGCTCCAGCGACCAGGCCTTTCTATGTCACAGGACTGAGCCCTCCTTAAAAGTCTTTCAGGCGGGGTGTGGTGGCTCACGCCTGTAACCCCAGCACTTTGGGAGGCCAAGGCAGGTGGATCACTAAGTCAGGAGTTCGAGACCATCCTGGCCAACATGATGAAACCTCATTTCTACTAAAAAAAAACACAAAAAATTAGCTGGGCATGGTAGCACATGCTTGTAGTCTCAGCAACTCTAGAGGCTGAGGCAGGGGAACCGCCTGAACCCAGGAGGCGGAGGTTGCAGTGAGCTGAGATCATGCCACTGCACTCTAGCCTGGTGACAGAGCAAGATTCTGTCTCAAAAACAAAACAAACAAAAAAAAAAACAACGTCTTTCAAGGCTCCCTGTCCCCTCAGGAAAAAGTCAAAATCCTTCAGCATAACAGGTAAACCTGACTGCCCTTTTCTCTTCTGCCCTACCTATATCACTACTCTCAGATTCAGATGGTAAGCTCCCTACTGAACGACTTACTTTTTATTCCCTGATCCCATCACCTCCTTGGCCTCCCCAGCACTGCCCTCGCACATGATGCTTTGTCATCTAGGTACATCAGCCCTCCATGCTAAACAGGTGCACCAGCAGAGGGCTTTCTGCATGGCCTTGTTAATGACACAGCATCTCCAGCACCCTGGCTCTTGGTGAGTAGTTGGATGTGCATTCATCACCTTTGCGTAATTTGGCACGGGCGATTTCAGTAACATCAGTCATGGTCTTTATTTTGAGGTGTGAATGCTACTAAGCCTTGAGGAGGATCTGCAGGTACGGTTATCTGATTTGGAGAGTGGCAGATCTACTAGGAAACATCACAGGACTAATAGGCAAGATCTGAGTGTTAACAGTGATTAGGCCTAAGGCTAGACTATTACCCAACTGTATGACTCCAGAAAGGGACTTAAACTTTCTAGTTGGGCCTTATTGGCCTTCTTATTTAGACCTATTTTTATTTATGTATTTATTTTTTTCCAGATAGAGTCTTGCTCTGTCGCCCAAGGTGGAGCACAGTGGCATGATCATGGCTCACCGCAGCCTCAACCTCCCATGCTCAAGCGATCCTCCTACCTCAGCCTCCCAAGTAGCTATGACTACAGGCATGTGCTACCATGCCCATCTAATCTATTTTTATTTTTTGTAGATATGCGGTCTCTCTATGTTGCCCAAGCTGGTCTCAAACTCTTGAGCTCAAGCAAAGCTCCTGTCTCAGCCTCCCAATGTGCTGGAATTATAAGCATGAGCCACCATGCCCAGCCTCTATTTTTATATTACTTTCATATTTATAAGACTCGTATTTTTTTATCATGTATGAATATTCTTTACAACAACTGTTAGGTAGATCAATAAGCTACTCAATGCCTTTTCATAAGCAAGGCAAGAAGGCTGCAGGGATAAGCATAAACATTTTACACTGGCAGAGATAAAATAGGAGAAGACATGTTTCTTGACTTTAACAATATTTGTCGGGCATGATGGTTCATTAGGTGGGTGCAGTAGCATGCAACTGTTAATTTCACCTACTCAGGAGGATGAAATGGGAGAATCACTTGAGCCCAGGAGGTCGAGGATGCAGTGAGCCATGACTGTACCACTGCACTCCAGTCTGGGCAACAGAGTGAAACCCTGTCTCAAAAAAAAAAAAAAAAAAAAGAATAGTCACACCTAAGTAGGATAACATATAAAAACAATAAACAATAAAACAACATGCAAAATCAAATGCAATGTATAAAATCAAATACCACATTGTCTGTATAAAAGCAGAGGAGCTATAACCATAATGGTCATGGAAGACTATCTCCAAAGTGGGCCTTGGAGCCAGCCTTGAAGATGAGGTGAAGACTTGGATGAGGAAGCCCAACAGGAAACAAATTCTAGACAAAGAAATGGCATGAGCAAAGCACAAGTGTGGAGCCAAGAAGAAAAACTGACAGCTGCAAGGGTCAAAAACTCAAAAC